TGTTAAACAAGGATGTTGGCCACCGAGCATTCACCAGCAGTTGAAGCAGAAACTGGTTTTACTCTGCCTTCTCTGGCACAGCAGGCTTGCAGTAGCAAGCATACACTGCTTGTAATGATTAATTTGTAGGACAGACTTCTGACTGTGGGTGGGTGGGCTTCACAAGTTTATTTGTACCAGGAAGGAGTAAAACAAAAGCTGGCCTATTTTTTATGTGATGCAACAAGACAAAAAGGAGGGCAAGGCATGTCAGAGCTTTTATCCTTAATATGTTTTGTTCTACATACTGCTGCTGTTGGAGTGGAGAGGCTGTCTGGCCTGTAAAGCTCAGTCAACAAATAATGCTTTTCTCCATCAGGCCCTAAATCAGATAGAAATCATGTGAGTCACAGAAATAGACTTGATTTTGAAGGTAAGATGCAGAAACCAAAGAACTCATTGAGAGAGGCTTAGGAGGCTGTGGTTTACAAATAACCCCAGAACGAGGTGGTACTAGCACAGGCAGGAGGCTCAAGAGCTTTATTTAAAGATTGTCACGTGCTTGATAGGCATCTGGGCAAGTGTTTGCTATGAACTAGGGGTAAGCAGACAGTGAAAGAGGAGGGAGGATATGGAATCCCGCAGTAGGGAACTGTTGCTTATTAGTTCAAGAGCATTACTTTGGTTGCTTCTAAGTTTAGATCACAGAATGACAGAATCATAGCAATTGGAAGGGACACTTAAAGGCCATCTAGTCCAACTCCGTTGCAGTGGGCAGGGAAACCTACAGCTCGATCAGGGTGCTCAGAGCACTGCCCAGCCTGACCTTCTGTGTATTCAGGAATGGGGCACCCACCACAACTTTGGGCAACCTGTGCCTCACCACCTTCATTGTAAAAAAAAAAAAAAGCTTATATCTGATCTAAATATCCCATCTTTTTGTTAGAAACCACTTCCCTTTGTCCTGTCACACAGGACCCTGCTACAGAGTCTGTCTCCTTCTTGCTTATAGCTCCCCTGTAGATACTGAAAGGCTGCTGTCCAGTCTCCCCAGAGCCTTCTCTCTCCAGGCTGAACAGCCCCAGCTCTTTCAGCCTGTCCTCATACAGCAGTTGTTCCATCCCTTGGATCATTTTTGTAGCCCTCCTCTGGATGTGCTCCAACAGGTCCGTGTCTCTCCTGTACTGAGGTCTATGAGAAAACTATGAGAGTTTTCTCGATATTGGAATTACCTTTATATATAAGTACATTTATAATTACTCAGTACCTCTTAACTAGTGACAATATCAAAGAAAATAACTTGGGAAGACTGAACATTGCAGCAGAGTTGTATTTTGAGGTTTCAGTATAAATGGGTAATGGAATTTGTATACTGTTTGAAGTTGCAGAATGTTTTTTGCAGGAAATTGTGGTGGCAGTTATCTCTTGAAGTGTAAAACGTGGTTTCTGAGAGAAGAGATTAAAGGAAAAGCCTTCTCAAGATCTGGCATTGCACACTGAATCTTAGAGGGGTCAGAATGCTTCTGACATTTCCATTGTCATCTCTTGATAATTTGAACGTGTTGTGCAGTTTTCCCATGGGCGGCACATGATTCTGAGTTCTTAATCCTACTCCCATATTTGGCTTCAAGCAATGTACAGGCTGTAAAAGCTCGAGTTGTGAAGGCCTCATTATTTTTCAGCTTTTAACTCTCAGTATGAATGTGTTTTGTTTTCAAGAAGTTCTGAGTGATTCTGATTAAACCTCTCACCTCCAGAATATAAAATCTCCTTGCATGCAGAAGTCGTATGTAAGTCACTTTGAAGCATTGTAGTGATTTTCTCATAACTTTTCATGGCTCCCAAAAAAATATGGGGAATGAATGGCTGGATGAAACATTTCATATTTACATCAGCATAGGACAGCATTTCATTGCACTTACTGTCATGGAAAGGGTTGCAGCAATTTCCTCAAATAACTTCGGTTGAATTTCCTGTAAAGGTCAGAACTGTAAAAAAAAAAAAAAAAAAAAAAAAAAAGTCTTGAAACCTTCATGTAGTGAACATGGCAGAAGTTCTTGGACTTTCTTTCAGAAAGTACTTGATAACAAATATTGACTGTAACTCTTGTGAGTGGCATGATTCAAGCTGTAAATTAAAGGAAACGTTTTGATAGATGAGCATGAACTTCAGCGTGCTAGGCACACAGATCAGACTTTTTCCTCAAAAGGTAATGGGTGATGAAATTCTGAAACCAAAGCTAAATCTTAAAAAGAAGATGAGAAGTTACGGGTGGGCCAAAGACTTTTCTCCTTGACAACTATTATGTTCCCGTTTTGTTTTTCTCCCCAGCTTGACAAGGCATGAAGGCTGCTCTGTCAATGAGTGACAGTTTTTGAAAACACTTATGAAAAGAGGAAAGTTCTTAATGTCTAGATTTCCTAATCTGAAATAGTCATTTAATAGGGCACAGATATACAGGTATTGTGTTAAATTTTGCTACCTGGTGGAGTTTTATCACAGTCAATACTGTAGTATTCTAAAGCTCACAACCTTATTGAGACTGCCTTAATATTTTTCTGTGATTTATAATGGTTTGGGATACAATTAGAAAAGATCTTTCTTACCAGGAAGAACTGTTCATCATGTTGAAATCACTCTAAAACCCACATACACAGGAGATGGAGACTGAATCTGTGGAGACTGCTTGTGGCATCGGAGAATCTGATTTAAATTTAGTGGTTGAAATGTGAGGTTGCTTACTTCAGGAGTTCCCAAGGAATAGCTCTGGAAAATGATCTAATAACCTGCAATTATCTTTGCTTGGGCTAGGAAAAATGGAGCGTTTCGACTCATGAAGTTTATACTGGGCACTGCCTCAGAATCAAGTATAAAAGGGTACCAAAGAAGAGGTTTTGAGGTACTTCTGAAGCTATTGGCACTGTGACAGTGTACCTGTCTGTGGGCAGGCCATGCAGGGCTCTCTATGGATATTTGTCTGGTGAACATAGTTCTGGAAAGGGCTTTCAAGGTCACTGAGTTTGGTCTGTCTTGTATCACTACAAGGTGTTCTTGCTATGTGGCTTGGAGGAGATTTCAGCATGATGTGGATGTCCTGCAGTACCTGTCCAGTCCCCATTGGCCTACTTAAGAGCATATTGGCCCATAGAGGGTGGGAGTTGTAGCTAGTCAGAGAGCAACTGTATTTGCTGTAATCAAAATACCACCAAGAAACAGTGCAAAAGTCCTAGTCAGGATAGAATAGGATGGTTAAGTTGGAAGGGAACTGTCTGACCATGTCAGGGCTAACCAAAGGTTAAAGCATGTTATTGAGGGCATTGTCCAAATGCCTCTTGAACACTGGGCTTAAAGCATTAACCACCTTACTAGGAAGCCTATTCTAGCATCTAACCACCCTCATGGTAAGAAAGTGTTTCCTAATGGCTAATATGGTGAAAACCTGAAGGAGATCCATCATGCTGTGTGGGATGATAGAGGTTGCTGCTGTACTGTGATGTAGAGGAGGGCAGCAAATATGTAAGAGTTGCAGGACAGCTCTCAGGGTCGAAGTTTTCATTTTACTGAGGGAAGAGTCTGTCCAAAGCCATCACCTGTCTCCAATGTCTGTTCAATGGAGAGGATCTCATCAAATTTGCAAATTACACGAAATGGAGAGGGTCAGTTGACGTGCTTTAAGTCAGAACTGCTGTCCAGAGGGACCCATACAGAACCCTTAAGAATCCCGGAAAGGGCAAATGCCCTCCTGCCCCTGGAAAATAGGGATCTCTGGATACAGACTTGGGCCTTATGGGTTTGAGAGTAGCTCAGCTGAAAAGGGCCTGTGGATCCTGCTGAACAGGAGCTAGTCTTGTGCCTTGGCATCAAACATTGCCAGCAGTTTCCTGGGCTACGTAACAGACCCACAACCTGCAGATTGAGAGAATTGGTATTTTCCTTTACCTGGCACGTTGCTCTACATCCAGAGAAGAGCAACCACTTTTGGTTCCATCAGTACCAGAAAAAATATCAGTAGACTGGAGCAAGTTCTTCTGGGCATGATCCAGGGAGCAGACAGAAAAGCAAGGTTCAAGCTGGGCATAGGGAACATGTTCTTCACAATCCATCAAGCAGTGGAGCAGGTTGCTCGTGCAATTGTGCAGTTTCTGTCTTTGGAATTTTTTTAAGACCTGACCAAAGCTACGAGCAGCCTGGTCTGACCCAAGATGGCTGCCCTCCCTGCTTGGAGCTGGAGGGTGGAGCAAAGAACACAAGGGTTCTCTCCTCCTGACCTAGGGCGAAGCTTGGAGCCAAAGCCTAAATTTTCTTGTGATTTTATTTTTTTTTTTTGGTAGATGGTGGTTGATAGACAAATGGCCTAGCCTCTTTGATGTGGCAGTTCCCTGTCCATGGGTTTACTTTCATGAAGCTCTGCTCCACCACATGTTTTCTGTGTGCCGCCAAAGAGGATGATCACCTTAAAAGGCTGTCAGTTGCAAAATGTGCTAGGGTTAGCAACAGCTCTGATGGCAGCTCTATATGCTTCTGCCAATTATGGAAACATTTGTCATATTTTCCTATTTAATATTTTTCTTCCTGCCGTGGTTGTTGTTTCTGTGGGCTTCTTGACATAGGGGAAGCAGACTTAGCTGTCTGTGCAGAAGGAACACTGAACCACGTTCTGCCCTGTGTGTCAAATGTACAGCTAATGAATGGATAAACAGAATTTTTTTTCACTAGTCAGCTTTGGTAATCTTTAGTAATAGAACTGCAAAGCTGTCCTACAGTTTCCATGCCTAAATAAGGAATTAGCCCCTTTTAAGAAAAAAAAAAAAGTATCAGTTGGAAGAGTTACTGAAAATGACTTCCATTTTGTGACATTGCAACTTCTATAGATTCTTTGGGGAAGCATTAGAATAGATCTGGTACACATAGAAGTTATAAGAAATCATGGGAGCTTAAGATTTAGAATATTCTGTAATACATCTTTTTTTTTTTTTTTACTTCTTTTTCTTCTCCCTCTCCACCTGCCTTTCCTTATGCAGGAAATAAAGAAGGACATGAAGAAAGAAAATACTGCCAACAAACCACCAGAGAAGCCTATAAATGAAATTTGCAATGGAAGCTCTTTACTGTTGTCTGAGACAATTATTAGAACCAACAGAAAAGGTAAAGTATATGGAATCTTAAATGCAGAATTGCATTCAGACCTTTAAAAGAATGAAATGTAACCTTTCCTTGTTTATAAAACTAAAGCTAAAGTTTATTTAAGTGTAAAGGCATAGCAAGAATATTAAAATTTTCTCATTCTCCTCTAGAATGGCATACAGATGCATGTATTATGTCCAGTATTTCCACATTAATTTTCACAGGCATCCCGTTCTTCTTAACAGAAATCCCTCCTAGATGCATTTAATTAAGAAAAGCAATATGAACAGATTACTAAAGCTTATTAAAGTAATGAACTGACAGCTTGCATATGCGAAGCTTTTTGCACAGTTGTGTCATTCAGGTTATGTCACATTGAGGTATTCATGTTTTATCTGGGACAGAGAACGTTAAAAGAAAAAAAAAAAAAAGACAATGTGGAAAATGGAAAGCTTAACACATTAGTTTCCTGGGAATTGTCTACCGCTGTCATGTATTTCAGATTGCACTGCGTGCTCTCTGTGCCTGGCTAGAATCCCATGGCAGATTCCTATGTATGGTTTTGAATTGTTTAAAGGAAAGCCTCCAGATCTTCTGTCTCTTTCACTAGCTCCCACTTCCGCTCTCAGAATATCAACAAAACAAAAAGTTGGCGATGTAACAGATAATGAGGTGGATTTTTCTTTAGGTTATTATATTTATGCATCAGTTTGTTTGCAGGAAAACGGCTATCTACATGGAAGAGATGGCCTGTATTTTTCCCAGGACATTTTCTTGCTTACTGTCTTATACAGGCTAATCTGCTGTCATTAATCATTGCCATAATGCAGTTTCCATTTTGGCGTGCCTTCTGTACTGTTAGGGCTATGCAGATGGAAAATTTCTCTTACATATGAGTGAAGATTGTAGTGTATGAGCTGGCAGGTTGACTTGAGGTCTTAGACCTTAAGGTTCGCAAGTGCAAGTGAGGAAGATTTAATAATTTCTGCAAAATATATGGCTTCCTTTAAAATGTAAGGGGGATTAATCTTTACCATTTTTGCTAGGAATAATGTCCCCTTAAAAAAAATTGGAAAGAAATCTCAGCAAGCATTGTCTTCTGTGTTTGCAGTGTTATCCTGAATCTGGAGACACATCCAAAATTCCTGCTTTGGGTCATAGTTTCTTCAAACAACAGAAGAATTAAATTACCAAGAATGATTCTTTTTCATGGCTGCTATACAGAACCATATGAGTGGTTGTGAAATTATCTAGGGATTAAGCCTGTTCCATATTGCTTCAGTTGCTATTTGGAGAAGACTAATAGCTGTGGCAGATGCAGAGATTTGGTTCAGTCACAAGGGGATAACACTCCAAATCTGAAAAGAAGAATAAAGGCTTTCTCCTCCTCCTTCTTTCCTCTAATTCAGAAACACTGAAAGATTCAGAAGATAAAGGAGGTTCTCTTTTTCTGTTTTTGGTTGGAGAAGACAAACTTCATATTTGTTTATAGACAACCAAGGAAAGACACATTGAGATCTTCAGTTTGAGTAAGGGATTAGATATAGAAATTAGCAGGTCTCATATTAGGATATTACTGCACTGAATTTCATTAGTGGAGACTGCACTTTTCATGGCTACCTCTGGGTAGTGTTGATGTTGAGGTTGATAAATGTTCTGACTGCTTCTCTGTGGCTATTTCCATTGCTGCCAAGCAGACAGTTACAGTATGCCGTAATCTACTCCAGCATCATGGCTAAGGATGCACCAAATATGACAAGACCAAAAGAACTTATCTTTTTTTCTGGGGTCAGTTTAAGCGTGGTGCTACAGCCAGCTTGTTCAAGTGAGTACAAACACACAAGTAGCTATTGTTGTGTCCAATAATCAAGAGTTTTCTAAGAGCTACAGGGCATATCTCCTTGTTGAGAGTGTTGCAATACATTGCTGAAGAAGGAGCCCTAAAGACCACAGGGATTCTTTTCTTCAAATGTCTGTGTACTGTGCTTTTTATTAAGCCCCATCTCAATCTGTTTATTGATCACAGAATCTGAACTGAGCTGACCTGAAAAAGAGGTGGGTTTTTTTGTTGTTGTTGTTATTAGGAAACAAAGAAGGGACAAATGTATCTGCTGCAGTCCTTTGGCTCAAAATGGTGGCTGGAGATGCATTCACTCGATCATCACAGAGCTCAGGAAATGGAGGAAAAGACAGAGGAAGCAGTTTTATTTCTTTTGGAAGACTGGAAGGGTTAAGGAGCTCTGTGTGGTTGTTAGTACATGTAGATGCACAGGAGACGCATTGGAGCAGGTGATATCAAGAGATAATCGGGCTCTGGAGAAAGGATGGTCACAACACGAGTGTAGAGCATCTGTGCAGATCCTGTCAAAGTCTTCCTACTAACTTGTGCTGTCCCAGAAACAGGAAATCTAGCAGGTCTGCTCTCAAGGAATTTGTGGAGTTACCTCCAAGGACAGAGATGTTCAGGAAACACAGAGATGTAGCACTGAGTGACATGGCTCAGTAGACATGGTGGGGATGGTTTGAGGATTGGACTAGAGGATCTTAATGATCTCTTCCAACTTTATTGATTTTATGATCTAAATATCTGTAGCTACTGTTCAGCAGTGAAAACAGCAGTCAGTCTGATTTATTTGCTTGGGCAATGTAATTTTGCTGTTTGGAAGCAGATCTGGTAGTGGTAGGAATGAAGTATCACGTCAGTGTCAGACACATCAGTGTCTGCTACCAAGATGATAAGTGCTTTTGTATGGCTGTGGTGTTACATATTGCATAGTTTTGCTGTTTAAGTTGCTTGGCCTTAAATAAGTAGCAGCACTTTAGTAGGCATTTAGAGCAGGAGAATCTTGGCCTCTTTGGCTGCTGGCTTGTGGAGAGTTTTTCCTTGAGAAATATTGACAAGTGTCCAGCAGTGGTATTCAAGGAAAACAGTTAAATTATTTGTAAGAAACATCTGAATAGCTAGAGGAAAAGAGTGGATTTCTGAATAAAAAATGATATTATGAATCCAGCTTTGTATCTTGTTTCTTGACGTTAGTTCTTGCTAAGCACTGCGTCAGGGATTCTTAGGATAAAATCAGTGTAAAGTCGAAGCGCTTCTTTTAAAGACTTGTGTCATCAAATAAGTCATGAACATTGCTTTTGTGGGTTACTGATGTATTCTAGGGAAAAAATCAAGTTGGCTTAATGCCACGAGTAGTAGCCAACTGTGTTAGTACTTCTATTACATACTGAGGGTGGCAGCTGGTTGTGGTATTGCTAATGATTGGTCACCAGCTATCAGTTACTCAGCTTTTTGTTAAAGATGGAGATAAGATGGAAGGATTTCATTTTGTCTGCTTTTCACTGAGAAAAGTAAAAACAGAACATTTCTCATTGTTTAATGTTTTTTAGTGACTGCATATACTATTGACCCAACAGAATTGTACAGTAGAAATGACTGCTATGGTCATCAATACAGCTGATCTGTATTGATGTTCTTGTGTTTTTGTTTTTGTTTTCGTTTTCAGATAGGCAGCTTTATTTTCTGATTAATTCACAGAATCATAGAATGGCCTGGGTTGAAAATGACCACGATGATCATCTAGTTTCAACCCCCCTGCTATGTGCAGGGTCGCCAACCACCAGACCAGGCTGCCCAGAGCCACATCCAGCCTGGCCTTGAATGCCTCCAGGGATGGGGCATCCACAGCCTCCTTGGGCAACCTGTTCCAGTGTGTCACCATCCTCTGTGAAAAACTTCCTCCTCATATCTGACCTAAACCTCCCTGTTTCAGTTTAAAACCATTCCCCCTTGTCCTATCACTATCCACCCTTTTAAACAGTCGTACCCCCTCCTGTTTATATGTTCCCTTCAAGTACTGGAAGGCTGCAATGAGGTCTCCCCGGAGCCTTCTCTTTTCCAAGCTAAACAAGCCCAGTTCACTCAACATTTCCTTTTTTTTCCTTTTTTAATTGCAGAGCATATCTAAAATTACTCATGAATTGCAGATATTTCAGGTATCTCTTCTTCAGGCTTTTTGCAATACCTGAGTGATACGTGTCTGGGTTATGTTGCAATCTGATATGATCATGTATGGTGGCGATAATCACCAACATCTGGAAGACAGAACATCTTAATATAGCATTCCAATGCATTTGTACTCGATCTCTGAAAAGCTCAAAAAAGAACTATTTGAGATGTCCTTTTGCTTCCCCTGACAACTCTGGGCTAGTTTTAGTGGTTACCTCAGGTGCTGCTCTATCAATCCCCATCTAAGGAAAAAGGCCATGGCACTGAATGACTTGTCTGAAACTGCCTGAATGTCAGCTGTGCTTTTCTTACATATGCTATGCCAGAATCTGTGCAGGATCACTCATTTGCTTCTTCCTGAACCTCATATAACTGGTGTGGGTCTTATTGTATCCTTTCACTGCTCCATAATTTTTTCATACAGAACTATTGCTCTTAATCTTCTGTAAAACCGAATTTAAAAAAAAAAAAAAAAAAAAAAAAAAAGGTTTATATCCTTGGATTTAGTTAGAATTGACATTTTTGTACCCTGCTAATAGCAGAATTAGGAAAGTCTTCCCCGAGAGCATTTTTAGATTGGTGAAGGAAAACGTAAGTAAAATTATTGCTATTGTTAGTGTTATTCAATATCATAAGAATATTAGTCAGATCTTGGAACAGGAAAACACTGGAAGGTATCTCTTCTCTTTAATTTTTTTTCCATCATGATGAAATTCCATCTTTCCAAGTTAGCTTTCGAAATCCAAAACCGGATCGCAAATTGTGACATGATTTCAGATCTGCGTAAATTCTGTAAGATCTTCATCCATCTATAAAAGCATGCAATGGAAACTTGCATGTAATGAGCTTAACTGTTAAACAACTAAGGGTTGTTTTATGGTAGTTTTGTTCCAATTTCTAAGTATTCTCTGTGTACTGCATTATTTTGTGTATCTGGGCATAATGTATTTTGCCTATACGTAGGTCATGTTGCAGAACTGGCACTGATAGGCAGTATGCAAACTAACAG